TTGAGGAAGCCTTTAGTGAAACATTAACATCACACAGAGATAATATTCTAACTGATGTAATTGAAAATGAGATCAATATAATTTTAGCATTTATATCACAGATAAAAAAGGAGCTCGAGTCAACAATAATTTAATATATATAAATATATATATATATATATATATATAATATATATATATATATATATATATATATATATATATATATATATATATATATATATATATATATATATATATATATATATATATATATATATATATATATATATATATATATATACTAAATACCCTGAGATTATCTTGAGATGATTTCGTGGCTATTTAGTGTCCCCGCGGACCGGTCCTAGACCAGGCCTCTTTCTACCCCCAGGAAGCAGCCCCTGACAGCACTGCTAGGAAACAGGGGTATCATTCGTGTCCACTCAGCTGTGCGGTGGTCTAAATGGAAGATTATTCATGTGTAGATTCGAACTGAGGACAGTCGTGACCCCTGCAGGTAACCCCACATATTGACTAGAGGACCGTCGTATCAAAACTAACACAACTAAGTCAACAAGAATGTTGTTTCATATAATCATTAGTATACATTATTAGATTAGATGTGAGAGGCATTTTTTTATATAAAATAAAATTATAATGTCACTATCAAATTCCTTATATATTATATTATTTATGAAATTTTTAATTGTGATCTTTTTAATTATATATTTATATTATTCAAGAAATAAGTCAACAATTTCAACTCAGCATCCTCAACTGTCAATGAATTTCATTACAAAACCTAATACTAAACCTGCTGGTCTGTATGTTGTCTTTGAAAGTAAGTATTATGTGGACCAAAATCGTGGTTACGATATGATTTCTCATGTAAATACAGTTAATTGTAATGATGATACAACGATTATTCATAATGATAATAATAATGTATTTTGTAAATTTGATACATCCATATTTGATCAATTTAGAAAAGAGAATTGGTATTTTAATACCTTAACACCGATAATTTTATTATCTATTCGTAATCTTCAAAAATTTTTTACCTATTGTATATGAGAGAATTGAAGATCTTCCACCCTCTTCAGATCATGAGATTACAAGCCTGCGTGAAAATATGAAGAAAAGCTCAATTGCTAATGGTAATAAGTTACCAAAATGTGTATGGGTATCTTGTTCACATATTTGGGTTAATAGTCCAAACAAATATACTCCGCAAGGTTTTCCTGTTTATTATTTTCCAACCAAGGAACATATAGATGGATATTATGCCCCACTTCTTCCTATTCAATTGAAACTTAGCCCAGGTGAAAATATTATAAAATGTAAAATGTGGGCAAAAAATATTAATATAATGAGTGATCCATTTGCTGTGGTTAAATTTAGGATCACGGTTAAAATGTAGGATTTATAATACTGTAAAGCATGATATACTAACCTGTTTAAATATTATTACTAAAAAGATAATTATATAAAAAATAAGGTATGTAGATTTTTCTTGGGAACAAATTATTCATTCTACTCTTGTATCAACACATCTTTATATATTTCTGAGCTTATAATATACAAAGAACTATTTTTTTTTTATCATTTTTAGATAATTATAAAATGATGGTGATATTGGTTCTATTTGTTCTTCAAGATCCCAACTGTCAACAAGGGTGGCGCAGTTGCTTTTTTTTTTTTGTAAACCATGAAAAAGCAATATGAAATCTACCCCAGAAAATATTCTGTTATAATACTAACAGCCCCCAAAAATATAATTCAAGTGTGGGATAAAATTGTCATATGGAGAAATAATTTAAAAATAAAAGTGGAATTTTTACAAAACTTTAATCCAACAATCAACTTGTATCATTTAGTGGAAAATTCATTTTTACTTATATTAGATAATGTTTCATCGATAAATGTAAGAAAAACATTTGCCGACGTATTAATTGATCTTCAAAACAGTGAAATAATTATTATAAAATGTGCTTCAATTACTTGGCCCTCAATAAATAAAGTGGAAAACTTTAATTTAAAACATTTTGAAGATGTTAAGATTATTTTAAGTATGAATGACTGGGAACGAAATTATGTATTGGTAAATAAGTACCTTTCATTTGAATTTGCAGACATTAGTATTAAACACCATTTAAAATCTTTAAATATTTTAACAGAAAATATAGGGAGTATCAATTCAGAAAAATTGAGAGCAAATCTACTTGATACTTGGAACAATGAAATACCCCCTATATACCCTTCTGAAGTTCTCCCAGAGAGTGAATATACTGTTACTGAAGTAAATAGCAACAAACGCAGCCGTGAGTCACAATCAGGTTGAATTGGTATGCCTTCAAAACATAGGAAGTATTACTGCCTGGTGTTATAATGGAAGGGGAAGAAGATACTGCTCATTGGGAAGCGTGTCAAAGAAAAGCAGCACAAGACACCGCCAGAGTAATAAGCTCCAGCCCTGTCAACGAAAAGAGCAAGGTAATTTTACCTGCTCTCTTTATGTTACTAGGTCATAAGCCAAATTTTAACAAAATTCATATATTTTTTCAGAAATTTTCTACCCTATCCTATCATAACATTAACCTAAATTAACACAATTAAGTCAATAAATCATGATTATAATGTAATATAATAGTAATAATTCAAATAAACAAATTGGAAACAAATTATCGAAAATAAAGAAAAGCACTCAGCCTACTATGCAAGGCCTGATTTGCCTAATAAGCCAGGTTTTCATGAATTAATTGTTTTTCGACTACCTAACCTACCTAACCTAACCTAACCTAACCTAACTTTTTCGGCTACCTAACCATATATATAGTATATATATATATATATATATATATATATATATATATATATATATATATATATATATATATATATATATATATATAGTTTGTGATATATATAGCCTCGGAGAAGAAAATAAAAAGTATTCAGAGGAGACCTTGTGGTTTCTCACTGAACACTAATATTATCTTCTCCTACCACCCCCATTCTTTTGTATGTACACATATATATTTACTTTAGCTTCCCTGTGGGTGGCAGCGCCACCTGGTTGTGCAACACTGAGGTTAATGTAGGTGTTAGCCAGGGTTGATACGCACGTGTAGTCCCATACCAACTGCTTGCCATTCTTCCAGGGGTTCACTGTGATACCATCAGGGCGACCAATAAGAGCATCAGAGTTACGGGGCGTTAGGTAACGGGGCTCTCTTTCAGCTGGGCATCCAGCTGTGGTGAGGCTCCTCTTGATGATGTCGTTAACTTCACTGTGCCTCGAGTGCCATCCCCCTGTGCTTTGGCAGAGTAGGCCATGGTGACCGTACCTGTCAGCCACCACCTCGCCGCAAATACACCTATATCTGGTGTGGATATTCGGAGGGCGTTATTTATATATATATATATATATATATATATATATATATATATATATATATATATATGTGTGTGTGTGTGTGTGTGTGTACCTATTTTAGTTTACATAAAATATAGGATGGAAGAACATGTACGTAGTAAATTAATCTCTTTTTTACTCAAAATTCAATAATTTCATTCGTTTATTATGCTATGATAGTGAACACAATGTTAAAATAAATATTTTATTTATTTATTTATATATTTTTTTCAGATGATTGAACCCTTTTTGATTAAAAATCCAGGACGTTTTACACTGTTCCCAATTAAAAATCATGATATCTTTAAAATGTATAAGAAGGCGCTAGCATCATTTTGGACAGTTGAAGAAGTAGACTTGTCAAAGGATATTGTAGATTGGGAACAGAAACTTAATGAAGAGGAACGTCACTTCATTTCACATGTTCTAGCATTTTTTGCCGCATCAGATGGTATCGTCAATGAAAATCTTGTTGAACGTTTCTGCCAAGAAGTACAAATACCAGAAGTGAGGTGTTTTTATGGTTTTCAGATTGCCATGGAAAATATTCACAATGAAATGTACAGTTTACTTATTAATACATACATAAAAGATTTACAGGAGCAGAACAGATTATTTAATGCTATTGAAACGCTGCCAGCTGTTAAGAAAAAAGCTGATTGGGCTCTAAGGTGGATTACCAATAGAACGGCAACATATGCCGAACGCATTGTTGCCTTTGCTGCAGTAGAGGGTATTTTCTTTAGTGGTTCATTTGCTGCAATATTTTGGTTAAAAAAACGTGGTTTAATGCCAGGTCTAACCTTCAGTAATGAACTGATTTCTAGAGATGAAGGGTTACACACAGATTTTGCTTGCTTGATATTTAAGTACTTGATTAATAAGCCTGATCAGAAATATGTATATTCTATCATTGATAATGCTGTGAAGATTGAACAAGAATTTTTAACAGATGCCTTGCCAATCAAACTTATTGGTATGAACTGTGATCTAATGGGGAAGTATATAGAATTTGTGGCTGACCGACTTCTCTTTGAACTCGGTTTTAAGAAACTTTATAATGTAGAAAATCCATTTGACTTTATGGAAAATATCTCATTAGAAGGGAAAACTAATTTTTTTGAAAAAAAAGTAAGTGAATATCAAAAATATGGTGTAATGAATTCAGATCAATACAGTTTTTTTACATTAGATTCAGACTTTTAGTTAATTAGTTGATGGATGGAATAGAACATGTTTTTTTTTTATATAGAATATAAATAATTTAATATAAAAATAAAAATATATATCTATTATCTTTTACTATTTTACTTATCATATTTATATTTTGACTTGATGAATAATGAATTAAATACCTTACATTCTCTCTTTCCATTAATTACAAGACTACAAAATATGAGGTATGTAATTATGGACATAATAACAAAACCATAATCTTCTTTATAAAATATCAACATATCACATGATTACCAAGCAGTGCTACTATCGTCCGATGTAAACACCAAGTTTGGTTATCGCCATTGAATCAACTTTTCTATTTTATATTCACCAATGAATATAATTCAAAGAGAGAAATGAATCATTACATTAAGTTCCATGCAATATGCCGGTGATACAATATATAAGAGCCTCCGTATCCAGTCCAGTCAACCAGTATGCCAGAATCCTGTTCAGTAGTAATACGGGCTACTGTGTAATGGAGCTATCCAAGGAATCTTGTGGTGTAAGTACCTAAAAGTTATTTTATGATAAGCATGATGAAGCTTTGGACACTATATTATAATAAATAAATAAATAATGTCTCAGGTGCATTTGTGATGAAATCTAATCTTTCTAGGATGATATTAGCGATATCAGTGAGGGAGCCGAAGAGAAGAAGATAAAAGAGAAAAAAGATACTACTTCAACTAGCAAGTCTATTATTGTTAAAATAGAAAACCATATCCATTCCAATGATGAAAATGTGGCTTTGAGAAAGTTGGTTAATATAACGCCTGAGACTATATAAAAAAAACAACGTTATTGTGAAATTAATACTCAAAGTTTATTACAAATATTAGAATGGTTTGCTAACCACGATGGAACCGATGTGTTGCTGTATGAATTTGCCCACAGTGCATCATGTCAAAAAAAAACTTGTACCCCGATTTGTCTAATGTTTCGCCGGGTTCGTCATCATGTAGTAGTTTCTAGACATCCACATTGTTCGGTGTTAATCTTATATTCAACCCTCTTGCATACACATGTGTCTTCATGTGTTAATGATGATTGTGGGTTGCCTGCTTGTCATAGACTGAAAACCACCAGATCAACTATAAAGTTTCGTCTTGCCAAAAAGAAGTGTGGTTGTTAACTCAATGTTGTCTGCTGGATATATATTATTGTTAAAATTTTTAATTCGACCTAGTGTTCAACAGAAGCGCATTATGATATTGATTTGCAAGTAAGTTTTTTTTTTTGTTTTTTTTTTCCATAATATTTGACAAACGAACTTCTGTGAAGAAAAGACGCTTTCCTATTTCTGCAACGGAGGCCTGTCTCTGGATATTTATTGATTTGTACTAGTTAGTGATATGTTGTATTGAATGTTTTCTTCATACCACTGACTAGTTAAATTAATATATATTTACAAACATAAGGCAATTGTGATCTGTTGTAGGTCATTTGGTGAGATGGTGTGTTAAATGGTTTCACCATAATGTGTGAGGATTCGATGAACATTGTTTTTATTTCACTGGTCGAATCAAATAGGGGCAATCATCAGTTTCAGATGCTTCACCAACAACCGGGCTCATCATCAATGGCATTACATATTGCAATCTGTGCTCCTTCCTACTTCAATAATGAAAATGATGAGGTCTTGCGAAAGTGGAATCAACTTCAAGCTTTTGGGGGGTTTGGTAAAGGTAAATATGTGGATTTTTGTTTTTTTCGATGAGGTAGTGAGTAAACCATTATGGAAAACTTAGTAGATTTGACTAGTTGTTTATAATATTGTAAAATGTATATAATTAAATAAAGTATAATTTTATGAATTTTATTCCAGGTTATTATTCGTCCAATATGTCACCTGTAGAGTTCACATCTGAAAATCCATATTGTCGTTTCAAAGTAGTTTGCTATACAAAAATTCCCAATTATCGTAATGAAGATGGTATTGTGCAAATTATAATTGGAAGGGGCCTTTCAGAAGTGGAGTAAGTAATTAATAATCATATACTTGTATAATATTCTAATAATTTTTCAGTGTTAAATATGACTAGGATCCGGGAACATTAAAAAATGTTTTTTTTTTTTTTTATTCTTCCAGGGCCTACAAACAGGAAGTTATTTCAGCATTGAGTCTATTATTCGGAGGTAATGAAGTTGTTGTTAATGAAATTTTTGCTGCTGAAGTACCAAACAAAACGAACTTCAGATTTTACATTCAGCAAGTTTTTCCTAATGGTAAAAGAATTTAAAGATTTTATAATGTTTTCCCTAATAATAATTAATATCATAAAAGATGATTTCAAGTATGGTATTATGCAAACTGCTCTATATTATATATATATACCTTCTAGGAGAGATTCAACGTGCATCTACCACTGACACCTTTAGTCATATGTTAAGAGCATCATACAATCCAATTTTTAAGGTAAGCTAAGCCTTATTATAGCTTGCACCAATCTATTTCATAGGATTTGATATCAGGTTGGCTTAAATAATCAAATTAGCTTAAAAGGGACATTATTAATGGAACGTTTTTTGACAGACAGGCAGGTAGATAGCCAGACAGAGACAAAAATGCCTACTTTTTCTGTTTCAGAATTTGTTTATTGAACAGATTATTCCAATGTTGACTTTAACTGAACAACAAATGAAGAAATATCTTGATACACCGCAAAGAGGTAAATGATTTTGATATGACCAATCCATCTACTTATCGTGACATAATGACAAAAGTGAAGATATTACGGGGTATTTTTTATTGTACCTACATTTGTGGAATTAAAAATTAAAATAAATTATTTATTGTTTATAGGAATTGATCCAGCATTGTGGGAACTGGGCAAGCAAAAAAATCCTGACCCAAAGAAATTGATACCTGTTGTAAAAGTGGGATTTCAGGAATTACAGAAACAGTTCAAGTATCAAGAAGAATATGGCAATAAAATTCATAATAGTATGAAGAATATCATGGATGATATAAGACAATTAAGTTGTATGCAGACGACAATTAAAGTTACCATTCAGAATTTTAAGTTGAAACAGACAAATATAATGCGCCGAGTTCTAAAATTGGTGTCAGCACAAGAGGTTGAAAGGAAAAAAAATCTACCACTAGAAGAAATAGAGGATCAGATTCGACTGCGATTAGAAAACTTGTATATGCAGCTGCAGGACCTCAAGGGATGTTTGAATGAACTAATGGCTCAGTCTATAAAGCCTGGTAGTTTTCCGCGAGCCCAACGGTATGGACTGGTTGTTGACAAAGTGCAGGATATATCACAATACCTAAAATGGCAGCAGGATGCACTTCAGGCTATAGTTAACATACTTAAGGAAGATATACAAGTGGTCGTTAACATAAAGAAGAACATCAGCTAAGTTTTGAGAGTTAAGGAAATTGGCTAACCGTCAACCAACTTCCCCAAACAACATTCAAACATTGGTAATTAACCCTATCATTGTTTTACTTTTAACACTTCCCTTCACCCTTTCAGGGAGGGGTATGATGCTACACTGAATTTTTTTGGTTCGTAACCAGCAACACACATTGAACTGATGATATTTCACTCTCTCAGGGAGGGTATGATGCTACACTGATTTTTTGTTTGTAACCCGCAACACACACATTGAATTGATGATAGTCAATAAATTAAATTTTAGTCTAGTTCCCTGTTTTTGTTTTTTTGTTTTTCCACATACAATAAGTGCACTCTGCCCATTAGGCAAAGTATTATAATAATTTTGCTAGATATTGATGACACTGACATTTTAACGGAAACTTGAAATAATTGACCTAGAATGTAACAACAATGTTTGTGTTGTCTTACAGGAATAATTTAGTCAAATAAGCACAAACTGTAAACTGCCAGCTTAACCAAGAAAGCCTGCCAGTGAATGGTCAATATAAAATATTCAGCGTGAGGGTTAATATCAGTCAGTCGATTTTGCTCCAGCATGGAGGACACATCTACAATTTCCTCTCCATTAACATGTGGACAGAAACAACAAGAAAGAAGTGATAATAACAATACTAGTGTTGATGAAGAACCATTACCTTCATCATCCACGTCTTTACCTTTGGGACAAAAAGTTAATGAAGGGTGTGAGAGAGAAGAAGAGGTGATACAAAAAAAGGAATTTGAATTAAAAATTAGCCAAATGTTGGAAAAAGGTGGGCATGGAAGCCGGAAAATTTTCACTCGAGAAAAATTAGCACAATACATTGAGGAAGTCAAAAATGCTAAATTGAAACTGACTACAAAGACATCTCATGAATATGATCTATTGTCTCGATATGATGTCAAAAATCTATTTGGGGATGACGTCTTAGTAACCATCGACGAAACTGAACGAAGAATGAAGCGGGGGACCAAGCGTAAACTGACCAGTGACAATCGTCATTCTACTACGGCTGTAACAACAACAACAACAGGAACAACAACAGCTGATCCTGGCCGGATGTGTCGTCGTTTCATACATCAAGGGCAATTGTATGATACGATTTATGATGCACACAGAGCAGTTTGTCACGGAGGAGAAAAAAGAACTTATTTTGAAGCAAGTAAAACTATCGCTAACGTCACTCAACAATCGGTGAAACTCTTTATTTCACTCTGCCACATATGCAATTTGAAACGACTTCCTCGACGAAAAAAGGGGTAATACGGCCCATTGTATCGACCAGTTTTGCGGAGCGAGGACAAATGGACTTAATAAATATGCAAAAAGAAGGAGGATGTGTGTATAAATATATTTTACATTATCAGGATCATTTAACAAAGTTTTCGGTTTTACGAGCTCTTCGCAGTAAACGGGCGATTGAAGTGGCACGCCACTTACTCGATATATTTGCTCTCTTGGGAGCCCCACGAATTCTGCAGAGCGATAACGGCCGTGAATTTGTGGCAGAGGTCATTCAAGAGCTAAAAAACGAAATGTGGCCCAACATGCTCCTCATTAATAGCAAACCTCGTCATCCACAGAGCCAAGGGAGCATTGAACGTGCGAATGGGGATGTAATCAAAATGCTTGGCAGTTGGATGTGTGAGAATCAAACGCGAGATTGGTCAGCTGGACTTCCCTTTGTGCAATTCACCAAAAACACAGCATATTCACGTGGAATTGGCATATCGCCTTACAAGGCAGTTTTTGGTATAGAACCGCCAATAGTTATGAAGATTCGTCTTTCGCCCTCAATATATAGCCAATTGTTCAATAACTGTCACTATGATGACAATGAAGAAGAAGAAGAAGAAGAAGAAGACAAAGAGGATGAAGAAAAAAGAGGCAAAGAAGCAAAGGTAAAATTCCTTAATATTTATTGGTTTTGTTTTCAGTTCAACCTTGGAAAACAAGAGTCCTCAATTAATTTCTGTATACTAAATTTTTTTTTTTTATATAATTGCAGTATTCCCTGTCATCATCAAGTCCGCTGCTGCGTCAGATTTCTTCACCGTTGCCAGACATGGAAGAAATAATTTTTGATGAGGTTGAGGAGGTTACTGTTACTGTTGCTGCTGGTGCTACAACTGCCTCTACTTCCATATTATCCCTGCCACAAATACCGCCACCTTCATTACCCCCTATATTATCACCACCAACACCATCATCACCTGGTATTGTGCTGTCGCCTAAAGTAATAATAAATAGAAGATTATGTAATTTAGAAGATGGTAAACCTAATGATAATAATAATTCTGAAGTAAATAACGATTCATATAATTTACATATTGAAAATTTAGGAACTATTAGAAGCAAAGTTTATGAGCGTCAGATAACTAATGCCTCAAAAATGTTACAATTGTCATCGGCAAATGTAACACCTGTTAGCCTATATGATACTGTTAATGTGATAATACCTAAAGAAGATAGGGAAAACAAAACAGGAATGCGAACAATCAGTGGAATTATCATCGAAATAGACAATGAAAGAGATTTATATCGTGTAGCTACAAAATTTGGAACGATTAACCAATATCTATCAAGAAACGATTTTGATAAAACAATCGAAAGAATAATGCCAAACGAAATTAATAAGAATCAACAACTTGGGCTTCGTGAGATTGTTCGTAGACAATCAAATTACTTTCTCAGTGATAATAGGCACTTGAAACAATTAGTATGCCACTGTAAACTTTTATCTTGTTTAAATCATAGATGTATTTGCAAAAGAAATAATCAGAAATGTACCAAAAAATGCCGGCATAATGAAAATTTATGTAAAAACTCGTAGCACCAAAAAGTAAAATGCCGTTTCGCTCGTTTTTCAATATATATATGGTTGGTTTGGTTTAAATGCTCATCAGTAAAGAATTATATTTTGTATTTGGGCTTATTATTTATTACCAGTTCACAAACTGTTATTTTGATTGATTCTGACAGAGTATAGAACACAGGTGAGGAGACTAAAAATAATCTAATGAACTCAGCCTTATTAGGTAAATGGGGTCTTTCTTGCACAGTAGGCCGAGACGTTTGTTCTCTGGCATAGAACGTACTTCTCAGCCACTATGCAAAAAAGACCCCATTTGCCTAATAAGGCAGAGTGATTTTCTTGTTGTGTTAGTTTATTTAAGTTAATTCGTTTTAACTCAAATATAAACAAATTAACTTAAACAAACATGAAAGTTGTAGGCCAAGTGCGACGTCCCCTAAAGCCTATAAAAAATTAGAGGTCATTCATACAATTAACTATAGTATTTGGAGGAGCCACTTTGCAATTTCCGAGAACACACCAGATTACATCAGACTTCTGAATTACAAAAACGTTTCCTCTGGGGAATAGCAAATGAGTATATATGACAGGAAGGATTTTGATATTTCGAGTCAGTAACCCAAGACAGACATATGGGCTGAATAAGTATTGGTCATCATTATTTGATATTATATAACCATCAATTAGGTTATGACTGAATCTATCAAATATCTGAGACTCATATACGAGACCAACTGGCTCATAACACTTTACATACTGTGGATACTTATTTATTTGCCCACTCCTCCTGCGAGTACAACTCCATCTTTTCTTTAAGGCTCCCATGACATAAGTTTTTTCGTCCATATTCTGATTACTGGTTCCTAAAGCCATTACGCCTAAGGTTATAGGCTCTTTCAATATTTCAGCCCTTTTATAACCAAATTTGTATAATATCAGCGAAGGTACACAGAGACCAATGGGAATTTTCTTGCCTTGTAATTTACATTTTATAGTCCTCTTTGCAGTACCTTCCCTTTCATGTAATGTCGTTGAAGAAGCATTACAAAGGTCAGGTATTTTTAACCTCTCGAATATTGAAAGAAATGGAATATTATACTCATCTTCATTAAACCACTCACAGATTTTTCGTTTCCTTTTAATTTCAAAACGGGGATGAATAAATGTCAACCTTAGATCTACTGGATACAATTTACAAACTTTTTGATCTGTTTTAAATGAAGGAAAAATTCCACATCTTTCGGCATCAGTATCCATAGTTTTTATTACTTCTTCATAAAATCTCCCAACAATATCGGAAAAGTTGGGAGGTTCTCCATTGTCGAGGGTACCATTTGCAACTGTGAACTTTGATGTAATTTGTTCTTTCCATGTAATGTAGTTTTTAGGTAGCAATACTCGTATTGACGGAGACTCAATAAAGTATATCAATACTGGTACATCTTCCGGATGTATTAATTCAGCGATTGCTATGAACCCTCCTTTTTTTGTTTTTTCATTCTTTACAAGTGTATAACCTGAATATTCGATGGGAATGAAGTTTGAAAGTTTATCAACAAGCCAGTCCTTCCCAATGAGGCAATATATTTTAATATCTTTATAATTGTTCAACACGCCTAATGTAGCAGAGGCATATTCTCCACAAATGGCAGCTGATCCTCTTGCTTGACCAATTATGTAGCTGGCAAGTTTCATTTTAGGGGTATGGATTGAAATCATAATTGTAATCTTACCTAATAAAAAATATCTATATCCTTTTATAATGAATAAATATAAAAAAAAATCCACTACCTGTTAACAGGTAGAATTAGCTATGTTATCATCAGTGCCAACCAGGCAAAGGACAACACGAGATTGAACAAATGGGAAAAAGTTTATTTAACCCTGAATGCCCCACCTGGACTTAATCGAGCCTTTATTATACTTTTAAAAACATTAAAATCGATCCGGCAGAACATTAAAGCCCCCAAAACATAAACGTATATAATAATAATTAATAATTACTTGCTGTTTTCCGTTTTGGGGATATACGGTTGGTTTGGTTTAATAACACACATCAATAAAGCCACCTATTCAGGTTCGATTTGCATAATAAACAGGAGCAATATCCTCCCAAATATATATATATATAAAGAAGTGTGCGACCAAGAAAATCAAAGTCATTAATCCTA